CTGATATGAATAACATCCTTCTCTGCTACCTGAATCAGAAGATATACAGAACCTCTTAGAGAGTTTACTTAAAGCAGTAAGAAAAGCAGCTGAGACTGCTGAACTGGAATTGAAGCTCTGTATATATACAAGAATTCTAAACAAGATTGAGGTCTTGCATACACAGTGACAGGCTGAGACAGAGATCAAACAACAATTAGCATTTGCTGTGAACTAGGCATTCACTATGAAGAGCTTCACTGACGCAATTGCCATTATCAATAAGAATAGAAAAAACCAGATCTTAGGCCTGCAGTAGAAGATCAAACATTTACACAGACAGGTGACTATATCAAATCTGAAGATCTCATCACAATTATTCACAATCTCTTCAGAAGTGTACACATCATCAGAGATCACTGCACAGAATGAGAATTCAAGTATAAAATATATCAAGTCAGAAGATCTGCTGAAGTTATTAAGCTTTAATAACAACTGAAAAAATGATGCTGCAATCAGATGACTAAGTCAGATGTAATCATATTATTGAATTAAACATGAACTCACAGACAGATAGTTAATGAAATTTTAACAAGTCTTAAGATCTGCTGCATTTCTACATGAAAAAGTGAAGTTATTATAAATGACTGATGAAAAGATGAATCTCACAGACTCAGAGTAATATTCATTCTCATAAATATGAAATGAGTTTTTCAAGTGAATCTTGCACAACTTTGAGAAAGTGAATGTGTAAGATAAGTATTATGAACACTTCACTGAGTGTAGATAAGTAAGTAATCTTATATCATACTTCACACACTTCAGCTTATACTATCTCATATTGAATGAAGAGCTTTCAACATCTTTCTGTTTACAGATCTTCATTCATGATCTTACATCTGAGTTGAGAGTGAAATGAAAATGCTTAATCTCACAGTCAGACACAGTGAAAGAAGCATACAACATTCTCATTATACAGGAATAAGCAAGTCAATTGCAATAGAAAATACTGTAATTGAGTATATCTCAGCAGAGAACAGATAATCAGACTTCTATAACACAAGCTATACACTCAGATATGATAAATCTAGATCTGAATGTCATTGCTAAAGTACTGAATTCTCTGAAAAAGAAATTCTCTAAGTGAAAACCTTGATGTTGCAAGCATTGAGCTTGCTTCAACTGTGAACATCAAAATCATGATACAAAAGATTGCACTCAGCATGCACAGTCAAGAGAAGCAAGAGAGTTAAAAAACTAGTAGAATCAGTGAGCTCAGAGACACTCACTGATATTCTATGAAAAGTCTTCAAAGTGAAAGAGATGTCTGTATTAGATGATTCTCTGAATTCTGTAAATACAAAGAAGAAGCAGACTTCTGAATGAGATGTAGATGAGAATGATAAAGTAAATACTCATCTCAATGCCTTGAGACCTGAAATATTAATATATAGAGAACACTTGAATAAGAATTGAGAGATAGCTGCAAAAGTGTTAACAGACATAGAAGCTTCTACATAATATATTAATAATTATATGATCTGAAGATTGAAAGAGGTTCACTGAGTGAAGAATCTCTAATATATAAGATTATCTAATAACTGATATCTGATATCACCTGCAAAAGTAAGAGTTCTCTTGCACTTCAGAGAATAATCTTACTATATTTAAGTGCAAGAGCTGCAGAATGTGAAATACAACCTTATTCTCAGACTCAATTGGTTTCAAAGATTCAATTCACAGATTCAATGATGTACATGTCATATGCAGTTGACTGATAGGAAGAAAATGATTCATACAATTCTATTAACTGATATGAGAAGAACATTTCACATCTCTGATATAGAAGAGTTAAATCTGCTTATACATTAACAAGTAAAGAGAATGATTTACAAGACCTCATCTGAAAGCATTCTGTATATCATACAGAACTCAGAAGCAGAGAAAACTAAGATAAAGAATATATGAAAGAACAAGTGTATGAAGAAGCTTCTGAAGAAGTATGAGAAGATCTTCTAAACAGATCTTTCATCAGAATTGTCACCAGAACAAGGATTCATACATGAGATTGACATGAGGGATGCAAAACCAGTTAATCAGAATGCATACTCTCTGTCACAAATGCATCTTGAAGAACAGAAGCATCAGATCACAGACCTTCTAGAATGTGATCTCATACAATTCTCATCAAGCATGTGAGGCTTTCCAGTCCTATTCATGAAAAAGATGAGTGAGAAGTGACAGATGTGTATCAATTATCAAGCACTTAACAAGCTTATGATCAAGAATGAATATTCACTGTCATAGATTCAATAACAGTTGAATATGATCAGAAACATCTGATATCTATCAAAGATCAATCTTCTCTCAGAATACTGATAGATTCATGTAGATGAACTGTCAGTCTCACAAATCATATTTAATACACAATGAGAGAAGTTTGAATTCCTGGCAATGCTATTCAGTCTGATAAATGCATCTGTCATCTTTCAAACAATGATGAATACAATTCTTTATAAACAGAATGAAACCTCATACCTCATATATCTTGATAACATTCTAGTCTTTTCAAACTCATATAATGAACATCTAAAGCATCTCAATGAAGTGCTTACAACTCTGACAGAGTATAAGCTCTATGTCAAACTAATTAAGTGTGTGTTTGAAATGAAAGAGTTGAAGTTCATAGAACATGTAGTGAGTGATAACTGTATACATCTCATTTCAAAGAAATTGAATATCATAGTGAATTGACCACAGCTGAGAAATGTATATTATATACAACAGTTTCTTGAGTTGATCTCATACTACTGCAGATTTATCAAGAATTTCACATAAATATCTGCATCACTCTCAGATCTCTTAAGAGAAATGAATGCAAATCTGTGAAAGAAGAAGTTTTATTCAATTATCTGAAATATCACATGTGAAGAGGCTTTTCTCACACTGAGAAAATGCATAATAACATTCTCAGTGCTTATTCAATCAGATTGTGATAAATCTTTCTACATTGAGACAGATGCATTCAAATGAGCTATCAGAGACACTCTTTTACAGATGAGTAAGAATAGTAAGCTACACTCAGTGATATATGATGATAGAAAACTATCAGATGCTGAGCTTAATTACTCAGTGTATAAAAAGAAATTGCTAGCAATCAAGCACACACTGGTGTTATGAAATAGATATATTGATAACAGATATACAACAACAGTGATCACAGATCACAAAAGCCTCATTTATCTATAATTAATAATAAAATCTTTCAAACACTTAGTATGTTGAATCTCAGAGTTTCAAGTGTACAATCTTCATATCAAATATCAAAAAGAATCAGATACAGTGATACTGAACACAATCAGTTACAGATCTGATTTCATGAGTGAGAATTCTGTGAATCAGGTACAAGAGATGTTCATGTTAAACATACTGAGAAGATGCAAGGAATCAGAATAAGTAAACATCATGATCTCTTGCTTGAAGAATGATAAGATATCAGATGATAAGTATCTTATAAAAGTAGTAGAAGAGATGCTTCTGAACTTCAAGCTGAGAAAATTGAAAAATGATATTATACTTTATCATGATCTAGAATACACAGAAGCTCTCTATCTAGAATCTTCATTTCAACATGACTTGATGACTCACATGCACAAAGAATTCAGTCACTTAGAAAGCTCTGAACTCATGAGCATACTTAAATCAAGAGTATACTGATCAAGCATGACTGAGAATATTCAGATATACACTCACAGATGCTTAAATTACCAGATTGTGAAAGAATCTAAGAAAGGATTAGAACATGAAGAAGTATAATATCAGATGAAGTGTATAATACAATCATTCAAACAATGAAGAGTGAACCTCATAGACATATTACTGTAAACATCAAATGAAAATTGATGAATAATCACTGCTATTGATTACACTACTGACTGACCAGTCATGAAAGCAGTTTCAGAGATGATAGAGAAGATGATGATGAAGTTTCTACATGATGAGATCTATGTTAACTATGAAATGCCACATGAGATTCTAACTGATAACAGTGTGAACCTCATAGAAGAAGCAGTGAGGCATTTCATAAGCCAGTTACAGACAAGACATCATAGAACAACATCATATCATCCACGGATGAATGAGAAGATGAAATACTTGAATGAAATCTTGAGCAACATGCTGATGAAATATCTAGTGAGTAAGCCTACAAGACTATGAGATGAATATCTCAGGCAGGCGCTATTGATCACACAGATTTGACAGTATGCAGTCTTCAAGTATTCATCATTCTATCTGTTGTATGAATTGCATCTGCGCATCCCGGAGAATGCTTCAGAAAAGATGAGAGAGAAAGCAGTTACAGATGCAACAGTTGCAGATACAGAATCAAGATTGAAAGAGATCAGCCACACACATGCAAAAGTTAATAAGTTACTCCTGAACTGAGCAATTCAATTGAAAAGAATACAAGACTCACTTATTAAGAAATTAAGTCTCAAGATGAGAATATGAGTTCTTGTACACAATGAGAGTTCTGAGAAGTTTCAACCTAGATGGTTTGAGTCATATAAGATACTCAAATCACATTCTCTGAGAACATACACATTGGAAGAATCAGAGAGACAGATCTTATGTAACTTATGTCAGGTCACGTGATCTGGCTTACTAATCCTTCCACCATATAACTTTCCACAAGCTAGCAACCTTTCAATCACACAAGCTTTACACCTTCCACAGGTTATGAGACCCGTTTTGCGCAAAAATCGCTGCCAATTCGGGATTCCTTGTCAATATAATCTATTTGAACTACTGCTTCATTCGATACGCCCATCAGGAGTTAAAATCGTCTTATTCTATCAGTATTGATGCGTTTGAGATCTTGATGATCAATAATACTACTGCTCGCTTAAAAAAGAGGCTTGCAGAAAACGCACCACATTTGCAAAAAAGCAAGAAAAACAGAACGATATTGGCAAGGATCCAATAAACGAATATTGAGAATCCAATAAACGAATATCAAGATGGCAGATTCAATACGATCTCGCCCACACACACGTTCGCGATCTCGCGTCCTTTCCACTGGGTCAGTTGCAGTTGATGATGATGATTCTTCACACTCACGCTCTGCCAGTGGACATCCTCCTGGAGCCTTTGAAAGCTCCATTGTCGAAACACCCTCTCGATTCGAAGCTGGTTTGAATACAGCTCCTGACACGGTCAGGCCGGCCCCCCGATCTACTCGACAGCTTGATGCTGGTTCTCTTGATGAGAATAATGGACACCCAGGTGTCTACCGTTCGGGCGAGGCAATATCAGACCAACAGATGGAGCATCTCAAGATGATACTTGAGATGGACAAGGGGAAGCAAAGAGTCCTAGAACTCGAACTACAACTGGAAAAACTCCGTCAACAGAGATCCTCATCCTCTACAGATCGACCACAGGATGTCAACAATCATCCTGCCACCATATCAACAGCCCGTACAGCCACATGGAATCCTAATCTCGGTGAAAGGTTGGAATTCAACCTTTATGAACCGGATAGCCGTGTTGGCAAAGCAATCTCCCAATTCAAGGAAGATGTCAAGAATACTATGAGACCAAACAGTCTAACTGGCACATTCAATTACACCACATGGAGCATCTTCATGAAATCGAAACTGGTTGATGCACAGTGTTGGTATATGATAGAGAAACGACAGACCCAGAACCCTCTACAAAGAGATGATGAATGGGCACCATTCTGGGACGCCAGAAACCGGTGGCTCTACACATTCATCTCGAACTCCTTGGGTGCAGGTGTCAGACCATGTTTCTCCAAGTATGATGAAAATCGGATTGCTTATACTCTATGGAATGCAATTGAAAAGGAATACTCTGTCCTCAAAACACAGTTATGCCGTGAGGCAGTTCTGGAATTCATGTCTCTTGGTGGCACACAGGTCACCAATCTACACACATTCTTTGATAAGTTCCGGTCCGCCATCACGAAATTGGAGATGTTGGATGCTTCCCCCTCAGATGCATGGATATTTGATACCTTCTACTCAGTTCTACCCAACAATTGGAGGAATTATGTTCAGAAGAAGATAGAGGAGATACAGGATTCCAAATCCACAGCTGTGGTATTGGATGTTGATCTTCTCATGGAGGAGATCCGTTCGCGGCTTGATCCTCCAAAAGATAAAAAGAATCTGCAGAATATAGATTCTGCGGCCAACACAGCTACAACAGCTACAACAGATACAATGACCACTACATCTACCAATTTGAACAACAATACATCGAATCCGGCCCGTGGAGGCCGTACTGGACGTGGTCGTGGCAGTTTACAAGGGGGCTCTTGAAACCATCGGGGATCGGGAAATCCACCTACATGTCCTGAATGTGAGAGATCTCACTTTGGCAACTGTTGGTTGGCCAATCCAGACAGTGCTCCAGATAATTGGAGGATCTACAACGCTGCGAGGATAAAGGAATTCAAAGAAAAGAAGGAGAACAATAGTGGGGGTGGGACCCAACTATCCATTACAGATGGTTCAGAGACCTTTCAGATGGCAAACCTCGCAGAGGTTATCAATGTGCCAGCCTGTTTTGTGGAACTCCACAAGGATCCCTCCAACGGGCGTTTATACATATCAAAAGACGTCATCTTCCAGGAGGACCTCCATCTTGCCGATCCATCGATACCGACTACTCCACACAACCCGAAGGTCCTACCCAATGCGGCCCGTAAAGCGGCTGCGGCGATTCCTTCGGCGACACCAGGCTTACCCACTGCGGCCCGTCAAGAGACTGCAGCGATTCCTGATCCATCAATTGATAATCTATTCATTGATGAGGAAATTCGACCTGAGTGTCCATTATTTCTCATACCCACTAATAATTGGTGGATTGACTATGATATCTCCGCGAGAATACCTACCCTTTTAGTGCAGAATACACTGAACTCCCCGGAACCCACAGTTGAATCTGATGACCCTCCGACATCTACAAGGGATATCACTATAGTGGGGGAAGCTTCAGTGGGGGACAGTCTTGAAGACCTACCCACCGATCCCGAGATCACTGCATTTCCAATCCCGAAAAACCTCACGCGCGCCAAAGCTTCCATGGAATGAAAGTATTATTACAAGGCCTGTGTTAAAGAGATCAACCGTTTGAAATATACGCGTTGGAAAGAGATATAAAGAAGATAGAGGGATAGAGGGATAAAAAAAATGATGTATATCATGACTGGTTTTTCATTACTTCACATTTTCCAGTCATTTTTTGTACCTGTACTTGATTTGAAGGCGAATTTTGTATATAGCATCGTGTATAGTTACTCTGGTGAGTGGGGGTGTCAGGTCACGTGATCTGGCTTACTAATCCCTTCACCATATAACTTTCCACAAGCTAGCAACCTTTCAATCACATAAGCTTTACACCTTCCACAACTTAATCAATGATTTATAACTTATGAAAGTAAAGATATAAGACCTGAGTGAATTATAATCATCTACAGCACTATTATCAGTGTTGAAAAAGAAGAGACTTACAATTGAAAAGTCTCATAAAGTAAGAGAAATCATAGATGCTTATAAATCAGATAATCTTACTTATTTCAATCTTTTCATGATTACAAGAAAAGAATGAGAAGCAATGAAGAAATCAGGCAAATATCACACTTTAATAAGTGATGAGACTGTAGCTGATTGTATGATAACACACTGCAGACAGTAGATGCAATGTAATAAAGAGCAGTCTCAGAGCAGCAGACTTACACATGAATCAGATTGCAGAAGAAAAAGAAATTCAAAGTTGAATTCAACTGTTTACACCAGTTCAATCACAGAGATCACAGAGAATGAACTATCTAAAACACTCGCGGACATGTGAGATCAAGTCATCTTGACCTCTGAGAACACTCAGAGATCAGATGAGGTTAGTTTTAATAAGCTGTTCACTATAGTGATCTGAGTGAGTGAAGAGAGACAGTATAATATATGAGACAGAATTACAAAAAGTTGAAAGCTGCTGAATCTAGTCATCAAACACTGTATTATATAGAGATTGTGTAAGAGTAGTGACTAGCAGATAAAGAAAAAGCATAAGAAAAGAAAAGAGATAATGAATTGATTATCAATTGTAAGAGTCAGCTGTAAAAGACAAATGTTATTATATATACTTTATTCATTTTCATACATCACATGTTTAATCTATTTCCAACATCACATCACCTGAAAAACATCAAAAATAAAGAAAATCTCAAAACTCAAGATCTGCAAGGAATTCAAGAGTTGTAAGCCACTCTCACAATAATATCATACATGCCTCTGATTCCTCTATCACTCTGTGTATGACATTAATGTCATTAATTACAAGATTGACTGAAATGCTAATATAGAAATGCACACATGTATATGTAGAGAAATTGAAGAAGAGCACAGAACCTGCAGGACCAGAAGTCAGAGCAGAGAGAGTGAAGATGAAAGAAATAGAAGAAGAAGAAGATACAGAACTGAACAAATGACAGAAGTCATTCAGAGCTGAACACTTATAACCTGATGTACACACAACCTTTCTCACAGAAAAGAGAGAGAAAGCAACAGAAGAAGCTTGAGAACAGAAGAGAGTAGTCTCAGCAGTGTTGTCATCTTTGATCAGAATGATCTCTGACACTGAAGCAACTAAGAACTATTATTAGTATATGAAAATCACAAAATCAGAGATAAAAACAGTTACTGAATGAACATCTGCTGATCTTAGAGTTGTACACACAATTACAACATGCACAAGGCTTCTCAGAAAGAGAGAGAGAAACACAGAGAAATGCAGAAAGCAGAATACAGTATGTAAACAGCTCATTCTCACAACAATATCTCAGACAAGGTGTACAAGCCTCATACTCATGAATATAAAAGAGTACAACATCTGTGTTCTCATTTCTAAAAACATAGATATCTTTTGTCTGTATCATGAAGTCAGATACCAGACATCAGAGAATAGACTGATACAGATCTATTATTCTGAAGGAATTTGTCAGAGTGAATATCTCAGTAATATTGAACTTTACAGTTATGAAAAGTTTCTTAGTATCTGTGAATATCATAACTTTGTGCACAGTAAAACTCATAACAATTTTCTTTAAGAACAGAAAAATCAGCATCAGATTGAAAAGATGAAAAGAAAAAGACTTACAATCTTGATACTATTGAGAAGAGAAGTGATTCTCTGATATAAATAAATAATTATTTCATCATGAATATTTAAAATGAATGTAATAATCAGCATTTATAATCAAGCTTCAGATAGTTATATTATACACAGTCTTCATACAATAAATTGTTCTGAGAGTTGATAAGAAGAGTGAAAGTATATATACTGAAAGATGTGATTCATTAAGTCTACACAACATCTTCTTGAAACAGGGAGAGCTGGTAACAAAGGCAGAGGCAGTAAAACCAGAGGTAGCGGGAGTGAGAGAATCAGACACAGAGACAGATGTAGAAGATTGAGAGAGAGTGGCAGAGAAAGAAATAGAGAAGGCAGGGAGAAACATGAGAGACTCAGTCACACATGACACAGACAATTTCTTCATTATTGCATTCTTCAAGTTCTCAATCAATAATTCAACATTGAATTCACTATCATCAGTGAATGCAGATCTGTCAACATATAAAGATTCTATGTAAATAAAAACAAATATATCAGCATCTGTGTTCATATAAAATCATGCTAGAAAACACAATCAGAAACCTGCTGAGAAGAGAAATAGTCAAGAGCATATAAGAAAGTGAAGAGAGTGTATGAGAAGATAGAGAAGATGTGTCATTCATAGTAGTATATTCTGACAATTGTTAGAAGATAAACAAGTTCTGATCACATACATTTTACAACACATTACACTTACTGTTAATGAACTGCTCAGTATAAGCACTATAATGACACTTGTTATGAGAACAGAGAGTCATTGTCAGAAACATGTACAATGTGATAGATAGACAGATGAAAAGAGTTGAACAGAAGAAGAAACAGAAATCTTGAATAGAATAGTAATGTTCAATGATGATAATGATGAAGAAGATGATTGAAGAATGAAAAAAGTTAGTGAATGAGTGATGTAATATAGTGAAAGTTTCTTTATAAGAGTGTACACAGAACACTAGCCAGATCAGAAATAGATTACATAATTATGAAACACTAGTGATGAGCTAATCTGCATGAAGCTAGAGCATACAATATGATCACATGAGTGTGACTGAATCTGGTGAGAGAGAATGTAGTTCAGAAGAATGTACAATTATCAGATAATAACACAGCCGCTTCTGAACTACTAGCATACACATACAAATGTAAAGAGGCCCTAGCGGCCGCTAATTAATTTAGCGTACGAGATTCAATATATAAGAAGCCGGCGTACGCCTGTAATCGTACGCTGGCTTAAGCAACCTTTGAATCACATTAATACTATTCAAGTGGCAGCAGAGTTCACTCTGATCACACTTTTTAAGTGTATATTTTCTAATTATTCACATTTATACAGATATATACTAATTATTTATTAGATGATATTAAGATAATGACTCATCACAGCTGTGTTACTCTTACTGTGAGAGATACACAGTTAATAATAAACATTGTAAAGACTCTGAAGAGTGAGTATTTTAAAGATACTGCAGCTCTGTAATCTTGATTTTTTTTATTTTTATTTTTTATTTTTTTCTTTTTCTTTTATTTTTTTTCTTTTTCTTTTTTTTTTTATTATGATTTTTTCTTGTATTTCTTTTGTTTTTTATTTTTTATTTTCTTTTATATTTTATATTTTTTTTATAATTAAAATTATATAAATTATGATCTGTGTTCAGAAAAGTAATAATATTTGATAACACTCTCTATTGAATTTTCAACAAATGAGTGTGGTTCAGAAGAATGTATGACTGTCGGATAATAACATGACTGCTTCTGAACTACTAGTGTACACGTACAAGTGTAAAGGGGCCATAGCGGCCGCTAATCATAATTAGCGTACGATATTACAATATATAAGAAGTCAGTGTACACCTGTAATTGTACACTGACTTAAGCAACCTTTGAATCACATCTGATAGCATGTCTAAAAACTGGTGAGAAGCGCAGGCTTCTTCAGAACATGATAATTCCATCTACAAAGTGATTTGTAGTTATCATGCCAGTGTGGTTCTAGAATGTCTCAAAAAGATAGTGTATGAAGAGCAGTGAGTGAAAGAGCATCTGATTGATGCTGCTTTACTTGTAGAGAGGAAAACTTCACACTCAGGTGAATGTCACATATGTGAACAGATGAGAGGTGAGAAAAGAGATGAGAGCAGTGAACCAGATTCAAAGAAGACTGCTCTTCACTCAAAGAGATAAAAGAAGAAATGACCATCACTGAAGTTATACAATGATAACAGAAATTATATAATGATATAGTAATATAATAATAGACATCATATAATCAATTAGAAATTAATCACTGAAATGAATATCTCTTCTAGCTAATACAAATAACATTCTTCTCTGCTATCTGAACTGAAAGATATGCAGAATCTCTCAGAGGATTTACTTGAAGTAGTAAGAAAAGTGACTGAAACTGCTGAACTGGAATTGAAGCTCTGTATATGTATGAGGATTTTAAATGAGATTGAGGTCTTGTGTATGCAGTGACAGGCTGAGATGAAAGCTAAACAACAATTGACATTTACTGCAGATCAAGCATTCACTATAAAGAGCTTCATCAATGCAATTGTCATCATTAATAAGAATAGAGAAAACCAGATCTTAGACCTGCAGCAGAAGATTGAATATTTACACAGATAGATGACTACACTGAATCTGAAGATCTCATCACAATCATTCACAATCTCTTCAGAAGTGTACACATCATCAGAGACTACTGTGCAGAATGAGAATCTGAGCATAAGATATATCAAGCTAGAAGATATGCTGAAGTCATCAAGCTTCAATAATGACTGAAAAAATAATGCTGCAATCAGCTGACTAAGTCAGATGTAATCATATTATCAGATTGAATATGAACTCACAGACAGACAGTTAACAGAATTTTAACAAGTCTTAAGATCTGCTGTGTTTCTATATGAAAAAGCAAAGTCATTATAAATGACTGATGAAAAGATGAATC